TGTCGTGCCTGAAGCCCAAATTTGCATCCAGGCCTAGAAGATGCTTCTTTTACTTCATATGAATCATATGGTAGAAAATCAAAACCAATCAAGTCCAATGTTTTCATAAAAACCAAAATGTGACGACCCTGGATTTTTCAACCCAGTATGTCCAATGATGACCCGAAGGGGATCTAGAATGCGGAAGCAAAGATAAGACAATGGTCTCCCAAGTCACAACACCTCTAAGACCCTAAGATAACCTTTCATGAGGTCACGGAACCCAAAGGAATAAGTGCGGAAGCAAGAGATCGAAAAAAATAACAATTAAGCCCCCAGGGGCAAAATAGTCATTTCTAAAAATATAGATTTGAGTGCTACCAAGCACACCACTGGAAAGACAACGAAAAACTAATCAAGATGGACTTAAGAATCGCATGATTCGGAGTCCGGATGAAGGAGAAACGGCAAGACGAGGAAAATGAGCATTTAAGGCTAAAAGGGTAAAATGGTAATTCCAAACTGAAATGGGTATCCTCTTTCACACCATTGGATAGAAAATGAAAAATTAACCAAGATGGACTCAAGAATCACTTGATTCGGGGTCCAGATGGCAAAGATATCAAGTCCTGAAGTCGAAGGAAGGGAAACCCAATCCCGGTTCGGACCAAACCCTGACACTACTTTGCTAAAACTTGAATATCTTAAGGTAAAAATGAAATATGAAGCTCTAATTAGTACCATTGTAAAGCTTATTTTGACGCGGTCAATTTAGACTCAAGAACGAACCAATTCGGAGTTCAAACGAAGAAGATACGATGACCCGAAGTTAGAAGTGCATTGTTGAATCAAGACACACACATCCACACACACATGAACAGTAAGGATGAGCACTCATGCAAGGGCTATGAGTGCTCATAAATGAGCATGCCCAGGGCCAAAACCCACTACCCCACTTACGAGCGCTTGTGCCCCATGTACGAGCGCTAGTTCTATAACAAGCTTAGTAGATTTTTGAGTTTGAAATGTGATTTTGAGGACTTTCTGGGTCTTTTATAAAAAAACACAAAGAAGAACCCCCCCCCCCCCCAAAAAAAAATCATGTTTTCTACCCAACAGTGTGGACGGAAACAAAAAAACTCGCTTTAAAATGTCTAGAATGCCCCTAGATCAGATTAGGCTCAAAACGGCGAAAATGCAACTTTGCACCAAGTATGCATTTGACCCCAAATGCATTTCTAAGCTGAAACGAATATGAACGCAAACGTAATAAGTGATTTTTAGTACGTGGGAATGGCCCGTGGCTCCCAGAAATGGCCGAGTCAAAATTCGACCCTTCGACGGCCAAAAAGGCAAAAATGAACTTGAAATGGAAATTTTGAAAACCAAAATTAACAAATGACTTCAAATGGCCGTTTGGCCCTTGACCACACTTCATACATGATTAATGAGACTCTATGAATGAATAAAAATAGAATTTCCACACCCGATGCAAACATAGTAAAACAATAACTTTACATTTTTTAATATTTTTATAATATTTCATGAAGTTGAAAGTTACATAGGATACAAGATACATGTCATTAGCCTTTGGCCTCCTCTCATACATGCTAAATACATTACGAAAGGTGTACTTATGTACACATTACATAAATGGAATCAAATATACACATTTTAACATAAAAGGCTACAAGTGACATTTCAAGCCAACCTTTACTAGAATTAAAACCTTCAAGTCTATAATCATCCGAGTATTGATGAACATCACGAACCAAGTCTTCGTACCTGAACAAAACCCCCAGTAACTTCGAGGTGAGTAAATAAGTTTATTCATAGAGAATGAGCATGCATAGACTCGATTTCTTTAAAGATTTTTACATTAACTTGAAACAATTCAAAAGGATTATGCCACCTTACGTCTATGTCGAAGGTTAGACTGAGGGAGCATCCTAAGCTACCTTAGTTCATTTTTAGCATAAATCACATCATGCATGGAATTCAAACAACGTAGAAGCATGTTATATGAAGCAACAAGATATAGATTCTCAAAGCCATTAACTTGAAATCTAAAATACGAAAACAATCAAAGTGGGTCATGCCACCTAACGTCTATGTTCCAAATGAATCTATAGGATCATTCCTAAGCTACATTTGAACATTCAAAACAAAAATCACAATATCGGTGCAATTTAACCAATATTGGAACTTCTAATACAACGCATAAAGCATGATTTCTCAAAATTAACATCTTGAAACTTAAAATGGGAAATCAAATAAGGAACAAGTTATCAACTTGAAATGTAATGCGAAATCAAACAAAGTGGACGCTTGGACGTCATGTCGGATCAGGCCGACACCATGGTTATTTTAGGGTTACTAGCCCATGGGTAACCTCCCTATGTGCACATTAGACTGTAGAGGGACAATCCCCCGTACTAGAACTAAGTCCTAGCCGTAGCCAAACAACGACATCCCCAAGTTTCCAAAATCAACAAGTTATGCAACAACGTATATATCGACATGTATATACAAGATATCAACTATCTACCATGGACAACCAAATTTGGAAACACATACAATACATGCTCTAAGTCCAGAACTACTATGGCATAAAAGATGTCAAATACAAGGTATACAACTCATTACACAAGGCAACAATATATTCAATAAGGAAAACAAGCTCTCATGAATATACAAGTAACAACAATGTTATCCAATGCTCAAAATGTAACCAAGTGAATATACAACAAGTCTAAGTCCTTGATTTAAATATAGAAACAACTTCCAAAATACAATAAAATCCATGGAGTAATTAGATTAGAATTTAATTAAATAAAAATAATTAAATTCTCTAGATTTCAATTTAATTCCAAATTTAATATATGTTAAACAACATGTCAAGATAATCACCAATATCAACTCAAAAGTTTAATTACATCATGGAGTAATTAAATAGAATTTAATTACATAAAACTTAAATAAATCCCTAGATTTCAAAAGTTATTCAAATGATCTCAAATTAATATATATCAAACACTGGGGAGTTCAAGGGCACCATGACTATGAGATTTCTGGCCCACATTAAGGTGGCTGAGTAATGTGTGACTATAGAGCAGTTGCCTACAGTATCAGAGTATGCAGATGTGTTTCAAGATATTTCGAGTTTGCCTCTTAGGAAGGCAGTGGATTTCTGCATTGACCTCACTCCTGGCATTTCACCTATCTCTAGGGCACCCTACAGAATGGCGCCAGTTGAATTGAGTAAGTTGAAGAAGCAGACTCAAGAGTTACAAGATCGGGGGTTTATTCGACCTAGCACATCACCTTGGGGCGCACCTGTTCTATTTGTCAAGAAGAAAGATGGGTCACTCTGCTTATGTGTCGACTATCGTGTGCTGAATAGGGTCACTATTAAGAACAAGTACCCATTGCCACGCATTGATGATTTGTTTGATCAACTCAGAGGGGTACAGTTATTCTTTAAGATTGACTTGAGGACTGGTTACCATCAATTTAGGATTGGGGAGGAGGATATTCCTAAGACTGCCTTCAAGACTCATTATGGCCTCTATGAGTTCTTAGTCATGCTTTTTTGGTTGACTAATGCTCCGACAGATTTTATGGATTTGATGAACCGAGTGTTTCGACCTTACTTGGATCAGTTTGTTGTGGTATTTGTTAATGACATTCTGATATATTCCAAGACTAAGGAGGAGCATGAGAGACACTTGAGCATTACACTTCAGACTCTGTGTGAGCATTAACTTTATGCTAAGTTTGAGAAGTGTGACTTTTGGCAGGAGTAGATTTAGTTTTTGGGGCATGTGATCTCTAAGGATGGAGTTTCAATAGATTCTGCCAAGGTGGAGGCTGTGATGAGTTGGAAATGGCCTACTACTGTCACTGAGATTCTTAGCTTCTTGGGATTGGTAGGATACTATAGGCATTTCATTGAGGGTTTATCCAAGATTGCTGCACTTTTGACTCGTTTGACTCGGAAGGATGTGAAGTTTGTTTGGGACCACTGCTGTGAATATGCATTTGAGGAGCTGAAGACGAGATTGACTTCGACACCAGTTCTTACCATTCCTGTTAGTCGTAAGATATTTGTAATCTACACAGATGCATCACATCAGGGTCTTGGTTGTGTTTTGACACAAGATGATAAGGTAGGAGCGTATGCCTCTAGGCAGCTTAAGCCACATAAGCAGAATTACCTTACACATGACCAGGAGTTGGCAGCAGTAGTTTTTGCATTGAAGGTATAGAGACATTACTTATATAGCCAGAACTTTGAGTTATTCTTTGATCACAAGAGCCTCAAGTACCTCTACACTCATAAGGAGTTGAATATGAGGCAATGGAGGTGAATGGAGAAGATGAATGACTTTGATATGACCCTTCAGTATCATCCTGGGAAGGCAAATGTGGTAGCAGATGCCTTGAGTCAGAAATTGAGAGGATTAGTTGCCTTTATGATGATTCAGGAGTGGATGATGTTAGAGGCATTGGAAGAGTTCTCTATCATGCCGAGTTCTCAGAGTACAGGGGTTCTTCTTTATGGTTTGACCGTACAACCTACTTTGATTAGCCGGATCATTCATGCTCAAACTCAGGATGACAGGTTATAGACCAAAGCAGGTGACGCTGTTAATGATGAAGGTAATGTCGATTGGACGTATGTAGCTACTAGTGGCATGAGATTTCGAGGTAGGCTATGTGTTCCAAACTTAGCAGTCCTCAAGAGAAAGATTTTAGAAGATGCACACCACTCTAGGTACACAGTGTACCCAGGTGGCACTAAGATGTATCATGATCTTAAGAGGCAGTTTTGTTGGGAAGGCATGAAATGTGATGTGGCAAAGTTTGTGTCTAGATGTCTCACTTGTCAGCGAGTGAAGGCTGAAAACCAGAGACCAGCAGGACTATTACAGCCTTTGTAGGTGCCTGAGTAAAAATGGGAGTATGTGACGATGAATTTTGTTATGGGGTTACCAAGGTCGATATATAACCATGATACAATGTGGGTGATAGTAGACCGATTGACTAAATCAGCTCATTTTCTACCCATTCGAGCTACTGATACCGTAAAGGAATGTAAGATTTACATCAGAGACATAGTTAAGCTCCATGGAGTGCTGGTATCTATTGTTTCAAATCGTGATCCTCATTTTTCATCTCAGTTTTAGGGTAGTTTCCATGCAGCTTTCGGTACTCCTTTGAGTTTGAGTACTGCTTTTCATCCTCAGACCGATGGCCAGTCCGAGAAGGTCATTCAGGTGTTGGAGGATATGCTTCGTGCTTGTGCGTTAGATTTTTGGGGCAGTTGGGAGGATCACATTCCACCGGTTGAGTTTGCTTATAATAACAATTATCAGGCTAGTATCGATATGGCACTGTATAAGGCACTTTATGGTAAACCTTGTCGTTCACTTGTATGTTGGGCCAAGGTTAGTGATAGTAGTTTTTTGGGGCAGAGTTGGTGCAAAAGACTACGGAGAAGGTTGCCATCATTCGAGATTGACTTCGCACAACTTAGAGTCGACAGAACAGTTATGCTGATTAACGTCGTCAAGCTTTGGAGTTTAGTGTGGGAGACTTGGTGTTCTTAAAAGTATTACCAATGAAGGGGGTTACGAGATTTGGTAGGAAGAAAGGGAAGCTAGCTCCTCGATTCATTGGACCTTTTGAGATCACAGAGAGGATTGGGGAAGTGGCGTATAAATTGGCTTTACCACCTAAACTCTCTGCTGTTCATGATGTTTTCCATGTCTCCATGTTGAGGAGGTGCTTGAGGGATAAAACTCAGGCTGTTGACTGCACAGAGGTTCAGTTGCGCTCTAATATAACCTATGTTAAGACGCCTATTCGCGTTGTTGACCGCATGGTGAAACAGTTAAGGAGGGCAGAGATACCTCTAGTGAAGGTGCAGTGGAATCATCAGGATGAGAGAGAGGCTACGTGGGAGATAGAGTCTGAAATGAAGGAAAAGTACCCACATCTCTTCGAATAAGGTACGCAAATCTCGAGGACGAAATTTCTTTTTAGGAGGGTAGAATGTAATACCCGTATTATTTATTTATTTATTTATTTGAATATTTATTTATCTAGTTGACTTTTTGAGGCATAGTAGAGATAATAGGTTACCTTTTTAAAAGTTGAAATTTTAAAGGGGATCCTAAGTTAGCTCACCTACCGATATTCTTATCTTTATATAAGTTTTATTTTTCTATTGTGTAAAAGAAAGTAATAAAATGAGAGAGAGAGAGAAAGAGAAGTTACTGATACTTCCTACCTTCTGTAGTAGCCGAGAGAAAGGAGGGTGATTAGGCAATTACGTAAAAGAAAGGTTTAGCAATTTCCAGGTAAGTTAATCTTGCATTGTACTTTTATATATTTTTGGAACTTGCTCATTAAGAATCCAATTTGTATGTTTTAAAAAATTATAGAAAAAATTGATGATGGTTATCAATATAATAGTATAGTTGTGTAATTGTTATCCTGAATTTATTTTTATGTGATCAAGGGAACTAGTTATTATTAATAATTGAATAAGGTTTAATCATAGAATATATAATCATTGATTTTAGTTAGAATTGTGAAGATTGGGTATATTACTATTATATTTGTAAATGATTCTATAGTTGTACGTGATTCAATAAACCATTTCATTCAAAAGATTAGATTGATTATTAGTTACGGGTTATTGTTTTGATCTATTTGTATTTGTTTGATAAAGTACCAGATATGGTGGAAAATATGGATTAGAGAACGAACTTGTGTGTATTATTATTGTTATATCTAATATAACATAAATATAATATTATGTTTACATATTAACTTGCATATATTCATCATGGAATTATAAATTTTATATCTCTGTACCAGGTGCTATGTATATATACTGGCATCAACTCTATTAACTATGTAGTGTACTGTGTAGATGCTAATGATAGTATAAATATATATATATATATATTATTTTGATATCTTTTCTAGATAATTTTGAAAATGAATCTTGTGATTTGATTGTAGGCCTGTGATTGGGTTAGATGACATGGAACTATATTGACTTCCATAATTTTGTTTTGTTATCGAGTTTTGAGCATGCAAATCAAATTGGCATGTTAGTGGGTTTGTGTAAGCCAAATTACAGGGCAAGTGAATGGGAGAGAGCGTGGCCTACCCCATATGAATTTTGAATTGGGTTCAGACTAGATGTGTTTACTTTTTAAATTTGTTATTTTTGGGTTCACTCTTGTGTCCGAAATTAAATGTTACTTTTAGTTGATTCTAAAGTATTTTTGCATTAAATAAATTAGGAAAAATAGTAATTATATTTCAAAAATTACAGAATTTTTCAGTTTACTCTTTTTCAACATATTGAACTCAATTGTGATAGAATTATGATTTTTAGATGATGTCTAGATAGTTTAAATGAAATAAAACTTGAAAAAGTATTATTTCTTGCACTAAAATGGCGAGTACAGAAAAACTATTAAGAGTTAGATCTTAAAATTTTGCAGGGTATTATATCTAATGTTAGGCTTTGTCCAGGAGTTTTGTACTCTCACTAGTAGGGTCTTTAAGGTTCTGTTTTTAAATTAAAACGGTATTTGGGTGTACTAATTATTAATCTGAATTATTAATCTATGATATCTTTCATAATTCACCATAATTAATAATTAATGGATGAGTTTGGATTAGTCAGTGGGTATGGTTAGGACCAGCCTAAGTTGGAGTGCACTACCCTTTTATTATGGTCATTGGTCTAATGAGCCCTTATTTTGTGGACGTGATCAGGGATCATCTGGGGAGTAGACGTATAATCCAGCCACACGTGTGTTTTCAGTAGTCAGGGACTATACGTTTCACACCACTTTATTGGATGGGAACCCGGGGCTCATGTGAGATATGTGGATTTATTAAAAGTAAACGATGGTTATTTATTGAGTTTACAAGTAAATGGGATATGCACATTTTATTAATGTATTTGTTGAGTTGCTTATATATATGGAAATACAAGGTAAGGTTAGCTTGCTGAACGATAATTGTGTTTAACATTTCTTACTGAGCTTGTGAGCTCACCCCATTATCACATTTCAGGTGCTCGTAGAGTAGGAACGTGATGGAGCCACATGACGGAGACGGATTTTAGCTCGTTGCACATTTACTTATTTTTTTATTCGGTTTTTCTTTATTATAATCATTGTAATAAAGTTGATGTTTGTGAAACTTTGTTTAGTTGATTTAGTGGTTATGGATGTTTTCTTATATTAGAGGAAATTTCACCTCTATTCATTATTTGTATAAATTTGTCAGACAGGTTAATAAATTATATGATGAGATTCATCGAAATTCTATTTATGGTGGATGTATGTTGAGAATTGGTGCAAGTTATACTTTAGATTTTATATGCAGAACAAGTAGTTCTTATGTTAAAATTTGGGGTGTGACATTGTGTCTATGGCAGTGCAAAATTCATTAGTATAATAATAACAGTAAAATATGAGAACAAGGATTAGAAAAAGAGTGGCTTGTACCATGGCAATTAAGTCTGTTGGTGTGATGTCTTCTAACCTGTTGCCAAAGGACTTCCATGCATCAACAGTAATTCAACTCGATCTCCATTTCCAAACCAAGTTGGATGCGAATCTACGACCAGGCATCAACAGTAATTCAACTCTCCAATTGCAAAGGTTTCTAGATCCTACTCTGTTATATGTCAACTAAACTAAACTACATCTAGAAATGGTTCAAAAAGTGAAATGGATTGGTTGGACGGTTGAAACAGTCTTCACAACCTGATTATTGTTCTAAGAAAATAAAATGAAAGATTAAAGGTTTTAAAATCTTTGCTCCCATGTTGCATAGAACATGTCAATCGTCTCTATTTGACCAGACATTGTCTGAACAAATATAAAAACTCTTAACTTGCTTTCTCTTTCAGTGCTCTTTATATAGACCTTAGTATATGATACAAATTCTTAAATAATGAGTTTGTATAAAGGTCAAATCAATGATGGAGCTAAGTGGAGTTTAGGGGGAAGTGCCCCCTTAAATGTTTTATAAATTCATTTTGTTCCTTTCAAATATTTTTATTTTGTATGCGATCCGGATTTTTTCCCATACATATAGTGTCTTGAGAATGGACTAAGTCATAGTCAAATCTATTTCTTGAAGCCCTTGGTGGCCCTTGGTTTGAAATTTTTTTATTCTTCAAAGTTCAAGCAAACGCAAGCGCACACTGATGATATTGTCCCAACCTCCCCTTTGTATTTTTTCCCATATACATAGTATTTTGAGATTGGACTAGGTCATAGTCAAATCTATTTCTTGATGCCCTTGGTGGCCCTTGGTTTGAAATTTTTTTCTTCTTCAAAGTTCAAGCAAATGCAAGCACACACTGATGATGTTGCCCCAATTTCCCATTTGTAGTGGAGAGACTATACCATCTGAACATTACTAATTGGTAGTTTGAATTTTCATTTTGTCGAGAAAAACCTTTTGGTATTTTAAAGTTTTAAACACATATTTTTGAAACACTTCATGACCAAACATTATGTTTCTGTCCATCCATGACATGTACTACAAGGTTGGTTGGAGTCACAGAATTAAGAACCATTAAGGGGTTTATCTCTATTGTGGTCCAAATTTTGTTTCGGCTTGGGTCGCGTTGCTATTCGGTTATGATTTGGAAATTTGAAGGGAAAAAATTGACCTATTTTCTTTTGTAGGTCGTGAACCCAGGTTGTAGATTCTCTTGTACCCAGTATATAAAGGCATTTAGGGTTTGTAGTATGATATGAGAGAACACTGAAAATTAGGGTTTGTAGTGTGATACGAGAGAATTAAGGGAGGTTTGGGAGCTAAAACTTGTAATCTCATATTTCTGGTATAATGAAATGTTTACTGGATCATGACCTGTTATATAGACAATTAAATTTTTTTAAGTTGTGTGATTCTTGTTTAATTTCTTGAGTGTTATCAGTTGGTTTGTGGGGTTTGAAGGTGCAACCATTGGAGATTATAGTTTCAGGGTTGAGTTGATGTAATTATGTCTATGGCAGTGTTGAAATTCTATAGTACAAGAACAGTAAAATATGAGAACATGGATGGGAAGAAGAGTCATTAATTCCAGAAACTCTATTGAGTGCTTTTTGTTGATGAAGATGGACGGTGTGATGTCTAATGTCTTCTTACCCGTTCCCAAAGGACTTCCATGCATCAACAATAATTCAACTCCCCATTTACTCATGAGCAATGACGTAGTCAGAAAAAAAAAAATGAGGGGCGGCTTTTAAATTCAACCCTTGAACCATTGAAAAACATTGGCATGAAACTTTATGAGAAATAGAAGTATGTAAGAAAAAGTTACACAAGAAGAATGAAGAGTCGTTTGTGTTTGTTTCGACGTAAAATATTCTTTTTGAAAAATATTTTTCTTTTTCAGGTATAATATTTTTTTATTTTTACTTTGTCAGTGTCTGGCAAAGGTCTACATTGAGCTTAAAGTCGAGTCCATCAGGTGGGATATAAAATAACTTGCCGAAAACAGATAGATAAGTTATTTTTGTTAAATTTTAATATATTTTTTTCTTCGTAAATATTTTACGGCAACCAAACACCAGAAATTAAAGAATATTTTACGTCTAAACAAACGAAGGCGAAGTCACCATGGGGTTGCATACATTATTCAAAATTCAAGATTATGTTCAATCAATTTTTTTATCTTATAACATTACCACTTGAACACACATTTGAAGCTTCCTTGAATCACCTTTGGGATAGTAACCATTGAATTGCATCAAGGGCATTCCCACTTTTACATCATAGCTAATGATTTAGTGACACGACGACTGAGACGATTTTCTAAACCAGAAGATGTTGAATATATATATATATAGATCAAATTCAAACTGAGGAGAGATAGATCTAACTTAACTTCTTCTTTTCTAATTTTTTTGTTCCCTTTGGATGGAGAGATGTAACTAAATACAATCACAAAGTTGA